GTTCTTAAACTTATTTTTCTTAAAACATAAAACAAGTAAATAAAGAAGTAAAGTAAACAATTATCTCTTCTAGTTACAAATTTTGTACTCGGTTGCTGCTTGAAGTAGGTTGCTAAGCCTTTTAAAATTTCGTATGTGGAAGATATGTTTAATTCAGTACATGAGCAAAATCTTAGCAAATAGAAAAGATACGAGGTTTTGATTTTATATTCTAGTTTGTCAATATTGGTAATTTGAGTTCCTAATTCATACAAAACTAAAGACTTAGTATTTTGACTTCACAATATCTAATCTGAACCAGTGCTGCATTCAACAGACCACGTGACACACAAAAATTGGTGTTTAACTTTGTTTTTTTAACATTTTACTTTTAAATTAAGAAATTGAATATAATAATGTATTATACTAAAATTGGAATTATAATCTACAGTTTAATACCAAATTTAATGACATAAATTCATGAAAATAGTAGTTCAATAAAATTTTGAATGCGAGCCAACAAACACAATGACATGGCCTTTGACCCGTGACCCATCTGGAAAGAGTGAAAAAGGACGATAAGCCAAAACAAACTGTTTCAACAAATTTAACCAGTCAACAGAAGAATTTTTACAATCTTTTTCAATACGTTTGACCAATGGAATTGTTGGAATCTCTTTTAAACCTTTATGTATGGTCCTAGCTCTTCTGTGCCTATTACAACGTTTCAGAGTTGCATTCAAAATTTAAGTAAAGAACTTTATCATTAATGAATATCAATACAATTAGCACCAAAATGTAGTTCATAGTTCCAGTTTTAATATTATCTAAGTTTTAATTGATTCATTTCAAAAGAAAATGTTAAATTCTCAATTTTTATTTCTGTATGTCACATGATGCATATAACTTTAATATTATACTATCTGCCTTTCTTGGACACAATGTACAAACAATTCCAAAGTCAAATTTACAGGTTCGACCTGTTAACTTCTCCCTGTAGTGAGAACTAAATAATTTTTTCAATCCAAGACAGGTGATCCTCCTCCTCTATGTAACTTCCAAGGCAGTTTTCAAAACCATGTGCTCCTATTTGACATACATGTTTATAATAAATTGAAAAAGCTTATTTTAAACTCCTTGCCTTCAGTGATCCTGTTGAAACTGGTACGAACAGATGTTAGACAGTGTATGATTTGATTAGGTGCTTAATAGTATTCCAGTTGATGCTCATAGCATTTAATGACTTTTTCTACCTTAAATAGCTTAGTTAGAAAACCATTTGGTTTACATTTGTTTTTAGACATTCTGGTTTAGTGATTTATGTATTACTTATGTTTCACAGTGTATATCTGAAAGGTAATTTAATTTTTCTATCGACAAAGACTTGGAAAAAAAATTAAATTAGGGTTAGGTAACTATGAGTGCATGAGTACAAATTAGATGTTCATGTATGCAGGCATACGGAAATCTTCCCATCGTGAACTTCATATAATCCAGACGATAAAACTATAAAATAAAATGCAAGAGAAAAGGTAAAAAGTTGAAATTCTGAAAAATAATGAAATTGAAGATATGGTGATTATTAAGGAGGTCATAGAGGTTATGAAATATGAAAATTGTTAGATGAAAAGTAGTATGTTTATACTTAACATGAAAATCACATTTTACTTAGATTGACTCAGTAAAGGTTTTGAAAATTCACAGACAAATTTTGACTATAGGTACTTTACTAAAAAATCTAACAGACTTGTAATGTTTACAAACACCTTGCCAAATATATCAGTCACTATAATAAAACTTCTCAATATTCTTATAGTTTATCTGGCTTTCTAAGTAACCTATAAAATGGGTTAAACAATTTCTGTTAGCCATTTATATTGGTAAAACCATTATCACACAACAATATATATCTATTAAGTGAATAACTCTCTGCCAAATTCAAAAGAATAGTTACAAGCTTGATATAGAGAAGGATCTACTATTTTAATTGGTTATAAACACGTCTATCAGCTGTGTAAAATTGATTAGCAAACAATCTCAAAAGTCAGAGAGAGGAGAGGGTTTTTCTGGTGGGTTTGATAAATTTGACATCTTAGCACATAAAGAAAGTAAGAGGTTCAAATTTTGAATACTCCATTTTTCTAATTGGTTGGAAATATTGCAGCAACCTGTTTCATAGGTTAACAAATTCTGGAGTGAAGAATTCTAAGCTCAGATTGGTCAAGTGACACAAAATTTATGATTGAGAATTCTTCAAGCATTTATTTTTGAAATTAAACTTAGATAACATAAAAATTTGGATTATAAATTACATTTTCTTGCCAAGTGATATGCATTAATAATAATGTTAAACTTTGATTGTAATAATGCAAAATTATGACATGCACACTTTTACCCTGCCACAAGGAAAGAGCTAGCATTATTAGGATCTCTTTTAATCAGTCAACAGATGAGCTGTTAAAATATCTACCAAGAAGTTTTATCAGTCGACACGAGTTGTTACAATCTCTTTCAATGAATCTGACGAGTTGACAAGTTAACTGTTTAAACGTTGAATCAGTCAAAACACAAAATGTTAGAATCCTCTCAACAAGTTTAAACAGTCAATACATGAATTTTTATGCTGGGTTTCATTTTTGACCAATCAGTTTGACTAATGAGTGCATGAAATAATCTAAGAATTACTATTTTTAATTAACAGATTTAAAAGCATTATTAAAAGAGAATAAAGAACTTTGAAACACGATCTATTTTACACAGTCACCATTCAGAACTTTGAAACACGATCTATTTTACACAGTCACCATTATTAAAACATAAGCTGCATAGACAAAAAAATGGCTTTCAGCCAAAGTCCGAACTCTTTAAGGACAAATGAATTTCTATCAGAACAAAATGTTAATGTATAAATTATCTAAGACATTTTAATCTACTAACAACAAAATTAATGTTAGTTTTACAGTAACTTACTGTTAGGTAGACTGTGTGAGAGGGAGCATATTATATCTATCATGACTGTTGTATTAAGAAATGAGTTCATTGTAAAGATGAGTTACCAAAGGCATTTACAACACAGATGTGGTGCTTCCATGAAGTTATGGTAACAACGGATAACAAAATTTAAAACCTAAATCATCAAAATCTCTAATGATTCTAAATGTTCCTTTTTCACTAGAGAACACAAAAACCATACAATTATGGAAGTGTAAGTCAACACCTAAACATACATAACTATACACAACACTGATGAAGGCATCTAAACTTGTGAAGCACACTTTAACCCTACCTGCCCAGGCATCATTTACTGCACATGTCATGAGGTTTTAGTGGCTTACATTCAAAACTTTATTAAACTACTTTTTGTTTATGATATACCAATTAGTATAGGATAAAATCGCAGATAACAATCCATATTTTAATTGTATAAAAGTTTTATGTTCTTAACTTTATAAGGCAATATTTAAAAAATTCCTGAATTTCCTGTAGGCATATTTTCTCTAGGCATCCCCTCTTCTCTATTTTATTCTCCAACCCTCCAATAAGTATGAAATTTAAAATAAATTACTCACTATAAAATTGTCATTGCTCAGACAAACCATAGTTTTTTTATAGCCTTCAATTTTTGTATGGTTACAGAGCCATCAAATAGAAAAATCAGACCTCTCTTGCCACACCCACCCATCACATACCCTCTTTCAGGATTTGTTAATAATTTTCTCTTGCTCTTAATTCTATATTATGTATAACGAATAGAAAGCCAAGGTTTTCATCTATCAAATGACACTATAATACGTTGTTTTCTGAACAGAGAATTGTCATTTTCCCTGATAGTACAAGCTTCGTTCCCATGGGAAAGATAACGACTAGCTTGGATGAATTTGTAACAGCTCTTGTTGCATAGTTAGAAAATCAGAAAAATTGTGACAGTTGGGGCATTGTCTGCTTTTTGCACATTATTAGTCTATGTTCTTTAGTGCATTATTTAATTAAATAAAAATAATTTAGTGCATTATTACCATTAGTATGAAAAAAGTAGGGTTAAATGTCATTGACAGTTGACAGCAAAAAAATAAAGAAACGGATAAGTACTTTATTTCTTGTTTTTCATGTTTATTCTTTATTTATTATTATAAAAGTAACTAAACTGTAAAAATAGGGATCTCTTTAGGTTAGTTAAGGTTAGAGTAGGTAAAATAAATAATAACAATATAATAAAAATGCTTGTGGTTAAAGTAATTTGACAGTGTAACGTGAGCTGCACATTCCCCAAGTGATTTACAACTTATAATGGCATGAATAGTAGTTAGACATGATTCAAAGGGCAATAAACTTTAATTATAAATAGATGTATACTGTTATGAGTTTAAAGTTTAGGACAAACAAATGTAACTTCATGTTACAATTTGAAGTCATTCTAGAGAGAAAATAAGTGTAATTTAGATTTATTTCAAATTGTTTTTTGGGTAGTTACGAGGTTGGTCAAATTGACCAAACTTGTATAGAGTTAGGTTGTAGATAATAACAGATAAAATATAAAATTTTACAGAAAACAAACATTTTAAATGAATTTAATAGGTTTTAGAGATTATACAAATTAAATTTGAGATGAAGAAAGTATTTTTAATCTTAATATGAAAATCACTTTGCACACGGACTATTCAAAACAAATACTCATTATATTCAAGAACATTATATTTAATTAAAATACTTCACTAAAAAATATGATTTTTTTTTGTATGTGAAAGACTTATAACATTTACTGAATGACTGCAAAATGTTTTAAAGATATACACACTATATTAAAAGTTAATAGTATCATACCTATAAATAATTTAAATGAGTACAAAGCAGTCATGCAGTTGGTCAAATCAACCGAGCCCATATTGAAAGAGTTAATAAGTCTATTACTTTATCTTCTAATATTTCTTTTAAATGAATTTTTACCCACCTCTAAGGCACATATTCCAAAGGAATAGATATCCACAGCTGGAGTAACCACTGAGACTGTAAGTAAATGTTTAAACTGATTAACATCCAAGTTAATTATTAAGAGGGTAATAATTATAAAAATATCGTGGGTCATGAAATCAGCATCATTTTTGTCTTACTTAAAACATGAAAAATTAATTATTAATTTGTCATGATGGAAATTACGTCTTCCCCACACACTTTCTGATAATCAGCTTCCACCATATTCTTCATAAGTAACAATAAGCACTGTCAATTTATTTACCAGAAACAAGTCTGTCATGAAAAACTCGTTAGCTTCTACTACATAATTTTGAATAATACCTTTTGCCCATAGTCAAGGCATTGTCAGCACTGAATATGGCAGATATAATGTGGTGACATATTCTCCTTTGCTTTCACTCATGGGTTCTTAAAATACATTTCCACTCAATGGATATCAAACTTCACTCATTCTGAGCCCAAATCCACAAATTATATACACAACTTCATTCACCGTACTGGTTCTATGTTCACGATATTAAATTCCTCAAAGGACGTAGACATATTTGAATCTAATTATTGTTATACTTTAATAGAGTACACCTTTTCACAGTCAATTAAGCCAGAGCTCGGAAGAGTCCTCAAGATCAATATATTTGCTGTTTGTTTGACTGTTACCATTTTAACTTCTCACACACTCTGATAACTGGGTTTATTGACTGCTATGTCACTGAACCTATCTTTGCACACAAAAATATAATTCTTTCATATTCAGGTACAACTGTTTGATATCTAAAACTTTTGAAATTATATTTTGCATTATCAAATTAATGTTTTATTTGATATTATTAAATATGTCATAAACAAGTTAATCATAGTACATATGCCAGGATCTCCAATAAAAATGAAGAAACATTACTGTGGTACGTAAAATGAAGTCTTACTCATTCATGCTTGTAGCTTTTCAAATAAATAACTTTCAATAAGTCTAGTAATCCTAGGTTTTAACAAGACACTGGGAAAAGTGACACACATACACTAGTTAAAAAATCACTTCATATGTACAAAATCCTAGAAATAAAATCTGGGAACTTTAAACCAAGTATTTTTCTTTGGCTAAAATTGCAAATTTGATGAAGCAGACACACCACTTGAAGGTTAGAGTGCAAATTAAAAGAGTTGCCACGTTATATCAAGAAAGACTTAGTAATAACTTTTTGTTTGTACAAATAAAATATTAATATGGATAATTCTATCTGGAACAGAATTAGGTTGTAATAGTTGTACCATGGCAACAATACATAAACACCAGGTTTTAAATAGTTGAAAGTATTTTAGTGTTTGAAAAATGTTTTGTAATTTAAGAAGTAAAAACTAATAATAAAAATTAATCTATATAAGATTTATTTTATTTGATAATGATGATAATTCAATTAAAATACTTTTACATATGATGGTCAAAGTTCATTGAACTTACTTCCAAATTCTGGAGCTATAAAGTGAACATTAGAAATGTCCTGTCTCCAGGTCTTTACATGTCGATGAATAGCATCAGGAGCAACTGGTGTAAGACCAAAATGATCAGATCATTAGATATATATATCAAACAGGGACTATCTGTATACAACTAGATACATTTAATTTCTGAATTAACACAAAACAACAACTTAATATTTCAAAGCAATGACTTCCTTGAACAAAAAAGTACATTTAATTGCCAATTGTTGCTTTCACATTCTTCTATACAACATCTATAAATACAATTAAAATGAAACTATGTAATACAATGGCAAGATCGACTATTAAACAGGCCACTCAGACTATACTGAAAGTATTTCCAATAGAATGATTAGGGTCTAACCCCCGACCTATATATATATAAAACCTTAGTCATTCTGCAGTAATGGTTAACAGTTACACAGATACCCATGAAATGGCTTGATTGCAATATATTAAGACTAATTATATTTTGTTAGATAAACAGAAATTAAAAAGTGAGCATAAACTCAAGCTCAGATAGAAATGACTTACTTTGGTAAACTGTCAATAGTGGTTAAAATATCTGCATAAAAACTAATTAATGTCTTACTCAAACCCGTATGTATTAAGTTATAAAAATAACAGAATAATTCATTTAATAAATGATGAACTTTTGTATGAAAAAATACTACCAGAGAAAAACAACTTTTTGGTATAACTTTATGACTGATGACATCTTTTTCTTTTTTTTTTTTAAACACACATAAAGACTCACGTCACTAAATGTAGCTGGTAAAAACCCAATTCAGTAAAAGTATTATTGAAGCTATTAAAATTAGTTCTATATTATAAACTTTGGCAGAATAAAGTAATGTTTACCAGTTAACTAACATTAGGTAGGGTCAGAGTGGACACAATGACTTTTTACCGTTATATTCAAAATTTAATTAAATGACTATATTATCAATGTATGCTAATAAACTGGACATAAAAATTATAATATTAGTTTTAATCTCAAAATCAAACATTTAATAAGTTCTCAATCTTCATTTATTTCTATCACGTGATGCTTCAAATTGCCCATTTTAGATTTTTTTCCTACCCACCTTTATGATCTTTACAGTTTGGCAGAAATTACCCACTTATAGTATAGATGTTTCTAAGCCATAATGTAAATTTATAGCCTCTAATCTTCTTGATTTACGGAGACAGGCACAACCCCACGCCATGACTCTTGTCTATCAAAAATGTAAATTTTTTTCTTTCTGACATTTGCTATTGTATTTTTTATTACTAATAGCAAAGATTTTAATTTACACAATTTTTTGAGCAGAGCTAGTTCTGATAACAGATTTTGAATTATTTGGCCCCAGTTTCTTTGTTTGCTATTGTGGTGTTCACATCGGCCAACTAACAGAACTTATTTCATTCAGTTACAATTCAGTTTGAAGTTCAGTTAAACTATAATAGTTTTAGGACATTTTATTTTCTATACATGTTAATATCTTGTATTTTTAATTGCATATTTGAAATAAAAGAAATATTTCATGCAATACTATTACTAGCATTACAAATTATGGAAATTATGAAATCTATTAACTGTAACAATAAATAATGTGTAATTGTCCATTACAATGTATGGTTATTCTAGAATGAAAAAAGCTAATTTAGATTTATTTGTATTTTTTAACTTTTCATTTTTCTCTACATTGCTGATATGTTGGTAATTTTTAAGGCCAAATTGAAAGATTTTAAATTACAATTGTTTTTAATTTATTGTGTTAAGATATTAGTTAATGAATAAAATAAAATAAATTAATATTCAAAATAAGATTTAACCACGACTACTGCTGAATATTTTTAGGCCTAAGTTCAAAGTATTGTGAAATAAAACAATTACTAATTTAGAAAAATGTAATTGAACATGCACTGAAAAAGTACTGAAATAAAACATGTATTTGACCAAATACTGTAAGTATTTCATTAAAATTTAACAAAAGATCAGAGACAGTTTAGGGTTAAAAGAAATTAAAAGCTGGTGAGTAGGGAGAAGGCTATAAAGAAAAATGTCAGACATTTACTAATTTTTAAAATCCATGTAAAATGAACACATATTCATTTTTAAAAGGGTTTTTTAAACCAAAATATTCACATTTTTGGTTTTAACAAGGCTATTCATCGTCCTTATTTTACTTTACTGTATTGGCCAGCTTACACGCCAAATTATGGTTAAAAGTGTTATGTTTTATATTTTTTATTTTAAACTTTTATTTTACATTGAATCAAATCAAGATGTATAATATTTCAAAGCAACATCTTCCTTGAACACAAAAAGTACATCTTCTAGCTTTTAGAAAAAAAATGACTTTGACCATACACTGAGGTTAACTATCTTGAAACTAAAATGTGGCACATACAATAGACCCTTGGCTTATATCTATCGATATATAATTACACATTTGAGTGTAATGAAAAATGGTTCAAAAGGACATTATTTTTTTACCCTTAGGTTTTATATAGAATATAGAAAATGGTGCAAAAATGTCCAAGTGCGTGTTTAAAACACTGAAAGTGTGCATATTATGAACTGTCACAGCTTTATTAATATTACATTACACCTGTACAGATTTCAGTTAAAGAAACATGAGTGTTCTTAAAAGATAGACACTTGTTACTTAAGAGTGAATGTGGAATGGTTTTTTCTATCCCAAGGTTAGCGTTACACATAAACAACTAAAACTGTCTTAGAGTGAAGCATTTACACAACAAACCCATGAAATCAAAAACAAAGTTTCACAATATCCCATTGGGGTCATCAGACTAATTTCTACAGAGTTATATAAACTCACAAGTATAAATCAATATAGTAGAACCACACATCTTCAGATCATTGACCATAAAACTAATCTTAAATATAGAAACTTATCTATATAAAACTTGTTTAGGCAAATTAAGTACAATGAAACATGACCAATGAGAAATAAACTGTTAGCCAAGAAGACCATAAACTTAATAATGACCTACTTGTGTCCACTGTTAATGTGATAATGACCTACTTGTGTCCATTGTTACCGTGAAAATAACCTACTTCGTGTCCACTGTTTACATGATAATAACCTAATTTGTGTCCACTGTTAACGTGATAATAAATTATTTGTGTCCACTGTTGCCATGATAATAAATTATTAAATTAGCACTGGATACAAATATATTATCATGTTAACAGTGGACACAAGTAGATTATTATCAAGTTAGCACTGGATACAAGTAGGTTATTATCACATTAACAGTGGACACAAGTAGGTTATTATCAAGTTAGCACTGGATACAAATAGATTATTATCACATTAACAATGGACACAAGTAGGTTATTATCATGATAACAGTGGACACAAATTAGAAAATTATCATGTTAACAGTGGACACAAGTAGGTTATTATCAAGTTAGCACTGGATACAAATAGAAACTTACTTGTGTCCAGTACTATCTCGATAATAACTTACTTGTGTCCAGTGCTAACTCAATAATAACTTACTTGTGTCCAGTGCTAACTCGATAATAACTTACTTGTGTCCAGTGCTAACTTGGTAATAACCTATTCGTTCCTAGTGCTAGACTTGGAAAACAAAGAAATTCACCAATAGAATAAGTTTAAAATAAAAAGTGTTTAGGAAATGCATGAGTAATACTAATAAAAAGCATATTAATTTTTCATTACCAGATCCAATTTTAACAAGTCCATCGTGCTGAATAAATATTGTGTCACAAGTCAAGTTTCCATGAATTATGGGGGGTGAACAAGAGTGTAAATAGCTGTTAAAAAAAAGCAAAAACAAAATCTAAGCAAACTCCATTGACAAAAGGTTACATGTAATTAATTTAAAAAAAAAACAGTAATAAAGGGATTCTTCTTTTTTTTTATAAGGGAAAAACTCTTTGAACAAAGTATTAAAAACGTTTAGTGACAAAGTTTAAGCACATAAAGAGAAATGCTTTACTGGGTAGATCAGTTAAAAAAATGCTTTATTTATTCTCCATTCAGTTTCATTAATTTCTGTTTAACAGGATGACATTTCTATTGTGTATCTTTTATTTCTTTTTAAAACAAAGACTGAGAAACTTAAAACTAGTAACAAAGGTATATTTTTATCTAAAAAATAAAACAATGATAACTGTGTAATGTTTTTTAAATGACAAAGTTCAGAGAGACAATAAAATTCCACAAAATATCATAATTACGTAAATCAGGCATCAGTTACTTACACTTTGTAGCCAACTGCAGAATAGATTAAAAGACCTTACAAAAAACGACATACTACCACTTACAATTAAAAAGCATCTATTGTAGATATATTACATAAACTATATACAATCAATCACCATTATTAAACTTCTACAGTAGATATATTACCTAAACTATATACAATCAATCACCATTATTAAACTTCTACAGCAGATATATTACCTAAACTATATACAATCAATCACCATTATTAAACTTCTACAATAAATACATTACATAAACTATATACAATCACTCACCGTTATTAAACTTCTACAATAAATACATTACATAAACTATATACAATCAATCACCATTATTAAACTTCTACAGTAAATACATTACATAAACTATATACAATCAATCACCGTTATTAAACTTCTACAGTAAATAAATTACCTAAACTGTATAAAATCACTCACCATTATTAAACTTCTACAGTAAATACACTACCTAAACTGTATAAAATCACTCACCGTTATTAAACTTCTACAGTAAATACATTACATAAACTATATACAATCACTCACCATTATTAAACTTCTACAATAAATAAATTACCTAAACTATAT